GTTGACGGCTCGCCCCGGGGAACGCGGGCAGGAAGCCGGACCCATGTGCCGGGGTCAGGAGGGCCTGAGAGACGGCTCGACCGGAGCGGGGTCAGCCCGTTCCCAGCCTGGCCCTGTCCTGCCGTGCACCCACTCACTCTTGGGGTGCCCCAACCAGGCTGGAGGGGCTTGGGGACAGCTTGGGGAGCCCCAGGAGGAATTGTAGCCCCCCCCGAACCCCCCCTGCCTGGCCTGCCCAGACAGGCCTCTCCGGCAGGGAGGGTGGCTGCTGCCCGGGGCTGGGGGGCCCCCCCGGTGCTCTCTGATGTGGCTGCAATCATCGCCCCCAGCCCCGCACCCCCCTCTCCATGCACACCTGGCTGTGCCGGATTAACCCTCCACGCGCCCAGGCGCAGCCGATGCTTGGGGTCTGGCTCCCTGCGGAGAGAGGGCAGCACCCCCCCAACCTTCTCCCCCACACCCCCAGTTAGGTGCAGCCAGGCTGCGTTTAGGGGTGACAGGGGTCTCCCATGGGTGACGGGAGCCCTCCCGCCCTAGGGGGTGCACCCATACCGTGGGGTGCAGAGCAGGGCCGGGGGCGGAGGAATGCGGTGAAGGAATCTGGCGGCTGCGGGACCGGACCTTGGGCCCACACAGCTGCCTGGCACCGGGCCGGCCCGGCTTGGCAGGAGGCAGGCAGGGGGATGGGGATGAAGCCGCGGTCCCCGGCTGGAAGCTTGGAGAACGGCCGGGGTGTCTCCGGTGGGTCCCCACCCCCTGAAGGGTCCCCACTCGCCCCGCAGCGGTGCCCGTGGATGTGCTGCAGACGCTGGGCATGCAGGATGGTCGGGATGGCGTCTCCGTCACTGCCGGGATCTGTCCGCAGCGCCCGGGGACCGAAGACCCCGATTTCGCTTTCCGCGTGGACAACCGCACCCAGCTCAGCGCACCCACCCGGCAGCTCTTCCCCAGTACGTCACCGAGCGGCCGCGGGGCCACCGAGCCCATCGGGGGGTGCAAACTGAACCGTTCCAAGGGCGAGCATCCCCTTTTGGGGTGCAGAGCCACCTCGTGAGGTGCATTGGGGTTGGGCTGAGCCTGATGGCTGCTCCTCTTCCTCCCTAATGCAGACGGCTCCTTCCCCGAGGACTTCTCCATCCTGGCCACGGTGCGTGCCCGGCGCGGAGGACAAGCCTTCCTGCTCTCCATCTATGACGAGCGAGGCGTGCAGCAGCTGGGCGTGGAGATCGGACTCTCGCCCGTCTTCCTCTACGAGGACCAGGAGGGGCAGCCGGCCCCCGAGCGGTACCCCGTTTTCCGTAGGGTCAACCTGGCTGACGGCAGGTGAGTGTCGGGGGGCAACGGGGGGTCTCTCTGGCCCCTCTTGCTGCGACCGAGTCCCGTCTCCGCAGGTGGCACCGCGTGGCGCTGGCCGTGGAGGGCACCAACGTCTCCTTGCTGGTGGATTGCCACCTCCTCGCCACGCTGCCGCTGGAGCGGGGACCTCAGCCCCTCGTTAGCACCGAGGGGGTGACGATTTTCGGGGCCCGCCTCCTGGATGAGGAGGTCTTCGAGGTGGGTCCCTCCCCAAATCCTTGTGCCAGAGTCCCTGGCTGTCTCAGAGCACCCTTGTCCTGGTAGTGAGGGGTCTGGGGAAGGGGGGGACCCAGTTGCCACGGTTGGTAGAGGCCCCAGTTGTGCTGGGGACTGCTTTCTGTCCCCATGGGGTGTCCCCATCCCCGTGGGGTGACCTGGTTCCCCTCCCTGCATTCCTCCCTGCTGCAAATGTCAGGGGCCACGGGCAAAAAAGCCGCATTGAGGCAGCGAGGCAAAT